GTATGTGTATGTGTGTTTTTATTATTTTTTTTTTTGGGGGGGGGGGGGGTCGTGTAATTTAAAATAGAAATATCATAAAATAAACACAATCTCCGGACTTCGGTCCCCCTCTTTCCATAGTATAGACCTGCACAAGTGAACACCGGTAAATTTCTACATGAAATTTGATAAAAGTCAAAATTTAAAATTCTCGTTGGAAGCTTTTGTTGAGGAATAGACCAGCATTTTTGTTTGGATACAAGCAAAACAAGGGAATCAAGTATGTGGATGAGTATTACAAACATGAGTTTTACAGGTTATTGTTTATATACTACCTAACAGCATTCATTTAAATGGAAACATTGAGATATGAATGCTCGATGTTTCAATTTGAAAGTAACTTATTGTGTGTCCCATATCCGTTTTAGTGTTGGTGTGCCCTATATCATTTTTGATTACAAAATGATTTAAAGTTTTTTCTTGGATTGTTAAAGCATAATACACTATTAAACACATCTGGATTTTTAAAATATTAGTTCTAGTGTAAACGCGGAAGAATAAAATGTCTTGGTACATCTGGACATGCGAATAATAGGTCGAATTTTAAAAATGTGTGCCCCACATTCCGGGTTTTTCTCACTTGTTCTCAAACTGTGTCGAAGTGTTTGGAGCAATAAGATTCTATCACGAACAAACGTACAATATATATTATAGTTGACGTTCTTTGGTATACTTTAGGCAGGATACTGATTTAATATCCATTCTTTATAAGTGCAAAAATATCAATTTCTTACATCGAAGCGGAGCATTTGTCCTCCATTTTTGTGTGTCCTAATCCCTTACGATGACGTAGATTCCCCGCCGTGCTATTGTGACGTCATCAATGAATCCATTGTGTAATATTCATAAACATTTCCAGGCGAGAATCAAACAATTATATCATGCAGTTGCAAAACAAACATAAAAAGTGCTAAAAATCTTGATTATTTAAATATTATCTTATTTGCGTACTATTACAATTTTTCTCTGTTACATTTTTTTTTTTTGGGGGGGGGGGGGGTCAGATGAACACTTTAACTTCAATCTTTAAGCATGCTGATCTAACGTTATCCCTATCGATAGTTTTCACCTGAAGGGTGGATAAAATATATTGTCTACCTAATTTATTGTTCAGTCTATGTTCTTAATGATTTATGATTAGACTTATTTACTTATTTTGTAACTTTCTAAAAAAAAAAAATTAACAGCAATGACGGTGCCTTTATTGAAAAATAATTTCACATTAGATTTCTCAACTTGAAATCCGGAAAAACAAAGAAGGCATATAAACTCAATTTCAACATTGGCCGCAGCAAACGCGATTCACAAGATGTTGTTAAATCGAAACATTTTTGCGTTATAAAAAATATATGTAAGTTTCATGAATCGCGTTCATTGCGGCCAAAGTGAATTTTGCGATCAAAGATATAAAGACTGCCATTTTTAGAGAATATATTGAAACATGGTATGGTTTTGAGATTTACGTAGCGTTTGTGTGACGTTTTGGCGCCATTTTACATCCGTGATCAGATAGACCTGATCGTGTACAAAATATATCAACACTTTATTTCTGAAGGTATCATTGTTTATTTTTGACGAATTTACTAGGCCGATAGTGGTAACAACCGTATTTTCTTCTTTTCTCAAAGTTTTTTTCTCGCTTCAAATTTACACGTCTTGCTTACGTTCGGAACTCTCTTGATTGTTCATATGAGTTACTTTGCTACATTGTGAATACACGGAAGGCATTCTATCGTTAAACCGGGTTCGTAGGACATTTATCATTTTAACAATAGAACATTCTATCTAGGGCGAGCGCAGTGGTACCATGAAAAATACTTGAAAAATTGATCACCCACTTCAAAAATCAAGCAGCACGAGACATCATGACTAGCTGTGACGTCACACAATGTCATGGAGCTCGTCAGAGCTTACGGAGACAGAGGAGTGTCTGGTAGAAAATATAGACCTAGTGCAATTTTGGTTGAAAAACATTGGGCCAAAATAAAATTATAGTTTGTTTGGAATTGCCGCCCGCCTCATTAAAATACCCCCCGCACAAAAAATTTTATTGTCAAAATATTGACAATATTTTTTTTATCGTTTTATCGTCTTACATTGTTTAGTACAAGTTAGTTTGTTCGTCGAAATAGCTTTTCAAAGTCGGGTTTGATATCACATTAATTTAACAACTCGGGTCAATCAAACGCTTTCTTCATAGTATTTATGATATAGCGATTATAGGTGGCGATTTGACAAAATTGAAAGCTGCCAAAATGTCAAAACATCTCAGCTATTCCTATGAAATTTTGTATGATTCAAACTGTTTGCAAGCGTTGTCTTAACAAAGGGGTAAATTTCAAAGAGAAATACTACGAAATAGACTGATAAAAGTATTGTTTAATAAAGATTTTTAAAAATAAACATAATAAATGGAAATTACCACTGTTCATTGAGATTTATATTTTTATCATTTAGCTTTAATTTGTAAAAAAAAAAAAATAAAATCCCTCCCTCCCTCCTGGGTCTGAAAACCCCCAGGCGGCAATTCCAAACAAACATTTTTTTAAGGGTGGCCTTGCAGAGTTATTTGTTGTTTCTTTGAAAGATTTCTACAAAATGAAAGCCTTTTATGCTTTACGTTATTATTAGCTCACCTGAGCCGAAGGCTCAAGTGAGCTTTTCTGATCAAAATTTGTCCGTTGTCTGTCGTCGTCGTCGTCGTTGTTGTTGTTGTTGTCGTAGTTGTCGTAAACTTTTCACATTTTCATCTTCTTCTCAAGAACCACTGGGCCAATTTCAACCAAACTTGGCACAAAGTATCCCTGGGTGAAGGGGATTCAAGTTTGTTCAAATGAAGGGCCAAGCCCTTTTCCAAGGGGAGATAATAATGAATTAGAGAAAAATTAATGGCATTTTTAAAAAATCTTCTTCTCAAGAACCACTGGGCCAGGAGAGATGAAACTCATGTGAAATCATCCTCAGGTAATGTAGATTCAAGTTTGTTCAAATCATGACCCCCGGGGTTAGGGTGGGGCCAAAATGGCTGATCAAAGTTTTACATAGGAGTATATAGGAAAAATATTTAAAAATCTTCTTCTCAAGAACCACTGGGCCTGGAAAAATGAAACTCATATGGAATCATCCTCAGGTAGTGTAGATTCAAATTTGTTCAAATCATGACCCCCAGGGGTAGGGTGGGGCCAAAATGGCTGATCAAAGGAATATATAGGAAAAATCTTTAAAAATCTTCTTCTCAAGAACCATTGAGCCAGGAGAGATGAAACTCATGTGGAATCATCCTCAGGTAGTGTAGATTCAAATTTGTTCAGATCATGACTCCCGGGTCAAGGGTGGGGCCAAAATGGCCGACCAAAGTTTTACATAGGAATATATAGGGAAACCTTTCAAAATCTTCTTTTTCAAGTACTTCAAAGCCATGATTAGTGATATTTATACGGAATCATCCTCAGGTAGTGTAGATTCTAGTTTGCTCAAGTCATGACCCCCTGGGGGGTTAAAATTCTAGCCCCCCCCCCCCCCCCCCTTCAGTAAACTTTCAGTTCTGATCTGATATGTGCTTTTTCCTAACCGATGTGCTCAGGTGAGCGCTGTGGCCCCTGGGCCTCTTGTTTTGTTTTTTTATTCGCGCAAAGCTCGCTGCGCTCACTACAAAAAAGCTACTTTGCATGCTTTGGGTACGTTTAATACCTACGTAGCTATTAATAGCTACATAGAGAAAAATAATCTTTGGATCGGACTTGTTTAAAATTGAGCTGGTGCAATTAAAATGAATGAGCACCTATTCTAATCACTTGGCAAACAAACAGTAACAGCAAGAGGGGTGCAGTTGTTAACGTGTTTGCTCTAGAGTTGCGGAGTAAAGAGTTAATCCTTTTTTCAGAATCCCACTGCAGTATGTGACAACCCATCCTTCAGATGGGACTGTTGCAATAGAACCTGTTTCATAAAAAAAAATCTTTCAACTTTCAAAAGCTGCAAGTGGCAAGTAGGGGTCTAAATTGAAGCCCTCTACTGGCAAATCATGATGTCTTGATTTAAGTGAAAATCAAAAACATGTGCAAAGATATAAATAGTTTGAATAACAAGCAATAGGAATTTTATGGTGTACTGTATATACTCTCCTATAGGTCAGATTTTCGAGAGTTAAATATTGGTCCAAAACTCTATGTCTGACTTACAGGTGATACTGTATACAGGGTTATTTTCGCCCCGTGTTATTTTCGCCCTTTTGCACTTGCGTACAATTTTGCCCCGTTTTAAATTCGCCCAGTCTTAGTTATGTTAAAGAAATTATGCTGTGTAATTTGAATTCGCACCATTTTAAATTCGCCAAATCAGGAAGAGGGCAAAAGGGGCGAAAATAAAACGGGGGCAAAAATTTCCCTGTATACAGTGTATAAAAAGACTGGTATTTTAGAAGGTCAATTTATATAATATAAGCTTTAATAATACAAGAGACTTATTTGCAGACCGATTTGTAGGCGAGTATACAGTAAAACTCGGTTATAGAGAAGTGGCTGGGACCTATGAAATTACTTCCCTTTATCCATAATTCGTTATAACTACTGTAAATTTGGAAATTTTTACGTCGATTTTATTTTGCGAATTCAGGTCAAAATGCTGTTGATTAATTTTTACGTTTTAAAATTTTGGGAATGACCACTGCTTTGTTTACATTTCCTTATTGTAATTTATTTTTAAGAAAAATATTTTTGCGAATGCAATGAATTCGCAAATTTGCTAAAAATTTATCTACAGCAAAAATTTCCAGATTTACGGTATATAAGGAATTCATTAAATTTATACAACTGGGAATCCAAGATGACTTTGCTATATCCGTGAATTCGCAATATCCGTGTTTGTAGTAAATGAGTTTTACTGTACATATGGTATACTGTTTGAGAAGGTAAGCTCCGCTTTGCTGTGTCCTTATTAACTTTGGTTTTATCTTGTTTTAGGTTTGACTGGAGAAGGACTGCCTTACCATGGAGGAGGAGGTCAACATGGTCAAAGAAACCTTTATAGAATGCACTGACAAGAAACAGGTGCCTGGTGCTCAGAACGATTCTGTCAGAGAACCCAGGGTCTTAAACTCAATGCTGTTTCTTCACGATGCTGTAGGTGATCTGTTATATATGCATGTAATTAAATGTTGAAATATTGATTTAATGGCATATAATGACATTTTTTTTAGTGATAAGAATATACCCCACCCACCCCTCTTCCTAATATATACACCTCCAGGCCCAAGGATATCCTTCATAAATCAATCTACTTGTACAAATTTTCAATGTTTTTCTGACCATTTGAAAAAGCAAAAAAAAAAAACAAAACAAACCAGGGGATGACAAATCCCATTGCCAGACGCCCGGGGCTAGTGAATTTTAGGAGTGGGCAAGTGAAATTTTATCAACCACTTGCCCGTGGGCAAGTGACATAAAAAATAAATCAATATGTTAGCCATAGATTTAAAGCTGGGTATGGAGGCTTGCATGATCTACTCAGTCTTTTTTTAAAAATATTTATAAATACAGTATTATTTAGATTATGGTAGGGCAAGCAAAAATTCACGTAGGGCAAGTGAATTTTGACCATGTACATGCCCTTGGACAACTGCCTTAAAAATCTATTTGTCAGCTCCTGACAAACAAAAAAAAAATAACATAGGAATCAATTTTTATTATAAAAACTATACCAGCATTATTTATGATACACAAGCAATTTTTACTTTAGCTACACAATTTTTCACTTACTCTTTCAGTGTGAGAAGTTGACGCAGACAAACCATGAGTATCTACTGTTAGTTGTGAAGGAGGATCCCAGGGAACGACTCCATTTTACCTCCCCTAAAGGAGCCTCCTTTCTACAGAGCAGGTCATGTGACCTTCTCCAGGAATTCCTCACCCACTGTTACGGTAACCTTTATTTATTTTCTTAAAAGAATTCTTTGATAGTTTTTGCTCAGGGCTATTCCAGAAAAAAAATGTATGGGGGGGGGGGGGGGGGGGGGGGGGGGGGGGGGGGGGGGGGGGGGGGTTGGAAGGCACTTTTATTTTTACCCCACCACCCATACATTTTTAATTACTGAAAGTATTGGCAACCAAAATTAACAAACTGCTGAGCGTAAAGAAACAGAAGAAAAATTTGCCTTCTCTTTATCATTTATCATTTAACAAACTGCTGAGCGTAAAGAAACAGAAGAAAAATTTGCCTTCTGTTTATCATTTATCATTTACAAATCATTTACTTATTATTTACTCAATGTTTACTTATTGTTTTCACATTGTTTGTACTCATTGTTTACTTATTACCGGTACTCATTGTTTAGGTGGAGAAGAAGTCCGAGATCAAATCGAGAAGCCTGATGAACATTATGTCAGTAATGCCAGTGAGAAAAAGGAAGAAGAGGTCACAGAGGTCCAAATGGTCACAGAGGTCAAGGAGGAAGAGGAAAGCTTAACAAGGATCAAGGACAAGGTCCCTGTTGGAGACACTCAACAAATCAAGTCCAGAGTCACTACAAGACAGGCTAAGAGGAAACAAGAGGGCCTTGTGCCTGACCCAGAAGAAGTGGGGAAGAAGACTGCCGAGGAGGGAGATGACACTGAAGATGATGATCCAGGTGATGATTTTGTAGATGATGATAATGACGAGGATTGGCAGCCCAATGAAGAAGAGAGAAGTGATGATTTTGTGGGATCTAGAGCAAAAAGTACCAGGAGATCGGGTAGGTGAACTAGAGGATTTTTGAAAAAATAATTGTTTTGATAGGGCCTAAACAAAGAAAATATTGTTTTCCATCACTTGATAGTAATTTACAGTGGACCTTCAGATATCCGGACGCTTTTTCATGGGAACGGAATATTGTCTTGTTTAACTGGTAACTCAGGTATCTGGACGCTTCACATATCCGGTACAAATTGACTAGGAACTAAAGCATCCGAATAAATGAGGCTCCTCTGTATATGTTTTCTATGAAAAGGGTTTCTCAGCAATAATGTATAATTTTGCAATGCAAATCATTTGAAAGACCAATATGCCTGAGGTTAATTTTTCTTATAATAATGTACTCAGCTTGTTTGCTGTACACATAGCCCAATACATGTTTAACATTTCCATATTTATGCTTCAGGGATTGAGTATGAAAGTGACGATACAGTTATGGATGTAGCTGAAGGGGCGAAAACTCTGAGTGATGTTGTCTCCAACATTTGTGCTAAATTACTTGATGAAGAAGAAACCGAAGAGAACTCAGAAAGCAGCAAACAAAAAAAAGAGGCATCCAATGAAAAATCTACAGACAAGTCACCAGTTCAGAAAGGAAGAGGAAGGAAAGCCAATCAAAAAGTTTTACCCAAAACTTCAGTCAGGACAAGAGCCAATGAGAAATCAAGTAACAATAAAACTACCAATGAAAAGTCAAGAAACAAGAAAGGGAAAATATCAAAAGCTAAAAAATGTAGGGGCTGTCAGCAGGAATTCAATTCCATCGTGGAGCTCCGTCTTCACCAGAAATCTTCAAAATCATGTCAGGAGAAGAAATACTTCTGTGACCTGTGTTCTGCTAGCTTTGTTACAAAGCATGGCCTCCTGAAACACGAGCGCAGTACCCACACAGTGGATAAAGAAATGAAGAGAAAAGAGTCTGAAAAGGAAGGGGAAAAAGTCCACGTTTGTGTCCAATGTAATGAAGAGTTCCCAAGCAAGCAGACGTTATACGAACACCAGGTCAAACACAACAAGAATTTATTTGCCTGTAGGAAGTGTAAGGGGTTGTTTCCTGATGAGGAATCTTATGAGCAACACAAGAAAGTCCATGGGGAGGATGAACAGAACGGAGAAGAGGGAGGGGAGAGTTTGAATGAGACGTGCATTAACTGTGAGAAGCCGATACAAGGCGAAGAGTTGGGAGAGGGAGGAGGCTCCCTGCTGTGTGAGGAATGCTGTGGAAATGAGTTCTCCTGTAAACAGTGTCAACAGAGGTACAAGATGTTCTACATCCTGGCCATGCACGACTGTAGGAAATCCTATCCGAAGAACATGGAGGACATTCTGTCTATAGACTTTGAGACACTAGAAGGCGGACTCACGTGTAATATGTGCTTTAAGCATTTTAAGAGTAAAAAGAATCTCTGTGCTCATTATAAGCTACATTACAGTGATACCAGGTTTCAGTGTAATATTTGCTTTAAGTATTACAAAGACAGCAGTAAGTTAAAGAAGCACAAGCGGTTTGCTCACAGTGATGAGCGAGAGCATATGTGTTCATTATGTGGGAAATGTTTCAAAGAAAAGACAACTTTGTTGAGACATTCGAAAATCTGCAACAATGACAACCGCGACTTCATGTGCTCTACGTGTGGAAAAACTTTCAAAGAGAATGGGACGCTCGGGAAACATATGAAGATTTGTAATTCAGAAAGGGTGCCTCACGCCAAAAAATCCAAGGAACCAAGTCCAGAACAATTGAGCTGTAAGAATTGTGACCAAACTTTTCATTCGGAAAGGATGTACCTAAAACACAGGTGTGAGGGTCAGGGTAAAGGAGAAATTGATGGAGAGGAGGGAGGGACAAGCTCCGGGGCATGTAGGAACTGTGAAAGGGTAACAGTCCAGTGTAACCAGCAGGGGCTGTGTAAACAGTGTGCTAGTAACAAGTTTGTGTGTTACCAGTGTAAACAGGCGTACAGCATGTTCTATCTCCTAGCCATGCACAGCTGTGAGCGATCGTTCAAGCAGAACCTCCAGTGGACCAGGAAGGTGGATTTTCATAAACCTGACCTGGAGCTTCCCTGTAACTTGTGCCAGAAGGTGTATAAAAACAAGAAGAACTTGTGTTCCCATTACAAAATCCATTTCACTCATGAACGGATCCAGTGCGATATTTGTGAACAGACGTTCAAACATCAGAACAGCTTGCATAAGCACAAACGATTTGTTCATAGTAACATTCGCGACTATGTTTGTGATATTTGCGGCAAAGCATTCAAGCAGAGCGATACGCTGACCACGCACAGGAAGTTACACACGCATGAGAAGACGAAGGAGTACCAGTGTGAAGTGTGCGGGAAATACCTCTCTGGAAGCACCGCCCTCACGGTCCACATGAATATTCATTCGGGAGCCATGCCTTTTGTGTGTGAGATTTGTGGGCGGTCCTTCAGGCAGGTGGGTGGAGCTCATTAAACTAAATGAATATGTATTAACATCAAACATGTTACTCTGATTTAAGAATTAATATTAATTTCATATCTACAAATGAAATTAAAAAGTAATAGGAACTGTGTTTTATGCCAAGGAACTATGAGAAAAATTGTTTATAATTTTTCTGCTAATGCGAGTAATGGTGAACATGATGAAATTGGAGTTTTCAATTTTTAATGAAATCCATATTACACTTGCTAGTAGGGGACTATTTCTGCTAATACAGTACTCTCAAAAATCTTGTTTTATAAATTTTTTTTGTCAAAGTGAAATACCTGGTTATGAATAATAAATTGATAATAATTTTGCTTTTTTCAAAGGATTGTGATGAAAATAAACATTTAATTTATAAAAAGTCTCTTAAAAAATCTAATAGACTAGTACATGTAACTGAAAAAGATGAAACTTCTTCAAGAGAAATTTTTTTTTTCAAACTAAGGTCACAATAAATATTAATTATATCAAAGCAGCACCATTTTGTGGAGATATAGAGACTCTTAAATTTGGGCTGTACCACTGTAGTAAATAATAGGGCACCACAATTTTTTATGGGAATCTCAAAATCACTTTCAAGAAAATCTAAAAAGCAACAGAGTTAAATTTTTTTCCGGTGACCATTTTCACTGCTAGTTAATTTGTTTTTTCATATAATTTTTTAAGTATGGAAATCTAAAAAAACACAAGATCACTCATGGAACAAAGAAGTCCTTCCAGTGTCATGTCTGCCAGAAAGCCTTCAAACATACTGAGACGTACAAAATCCACATGAAGGGCCACGTCCTGAATGGTACACTGAGCGACAATAAATACGGCAAAATTTACACCTGCTCCTACTGCAATAAGAAGATACCATCAGCTTCACAATACACTGTTCATCTCAGGTAAGAAAGAAAAGTCATTGAAAAAAAATTAGCTTTTCTTAACTAAAAAAATTTTTCCAAAGTTTCTTAAGTTATCTTTTCTGGTAAAACCTCAAGCTTTGTAAATACCAGGGTATTATTCACCTTTCGTAAACAATTTCAGTCACTTATACATGTTAATTAAATTTAACTCAAACATCCTTGTACAATTTTCAATGGAATGGCGAGTGGGGGGGCTGAATTACTATTGATCAATACCATTACACAGATGATAGACATTATCTACTTTGATTTGCAGGACCCACACAAATGAGAGACCATTCCAATGTCAGCTCTGCTCCAAAGCCTTTAAAGAACACGGCAAACTGAAGAGACACATGAAAACACACATCGAGGACAACCTAATGCCACGACAACGGAGGACCTCCAAACCACGACCCCAGGTCAGTGCCGGGTATAACCTGGGACAGGACCTAGGGTACCAGCCAAACGGTGACCCCAGTAACATGCTGAACACAGTGACCATGTCATTCACCAGTGAGGTGGAGGGGCAGTTACCACAGACCATAGCCATCCCTATAACGGAGACCCACGGAAACTACCCCCAACAACAGGTGGCCGCGTTCACAGAGGAAGGGGCCATTATCAATATAGATAATGAGAGCTTTAGGGAAAGGTTCCTGCCATTAGAGTAAATGTTTTTTTAATTTCTGTATCTTTTAAACCTGCTTTCAGGGACACTATGTAAACCAGAGGAATATTTTTTTGTCTCTGAAATCTCCAGTACAGAGTTAACAAACCTTACTATTTGTCGTATGATTTGAATGTTATAAATGCATGCTTATCTTATATTTTATCTATATATCCATCAGAAGTTTGAAATAATCAGTATTTTCATAGCTTTTCACCATCAGCTTCCATTATCATGATTATTTTGTTAAAAAATTTCTAGTCCTTACAGAGCAAGTGTATATGTGGATGTCCATTTCTGTGCTACACTTTGCAATCTTACCTTATGCAAATCAAAACTGAAATATCTAGGGTTAGGGGTTAAGTGGTCCCAGGTCTTTTCATTTGATAATGTTGGCAGCTCTGTCCTTCTTTTTATGTCTCTGCATTTCATTCATTATCATTATTTACATAAAGTTTACGAATTTTGATCCTATTTTAATTGAATGACCTGTACTTGTTATTTGGACAGAATTTAAGTGTGTGGTAATTAAAGCATTTCAATCATGTTATTATTTGTTTATTGATTCTTTTTTAACTATATACTTAACTTGACATTGAAGCTTCTCTTTAGATTCTGTCAATTGTAAATAAGGTACATATATGTAGTTAATAAGTATTGTTTGTATCCTTGAGATACTCTCTCTAGCATGTGGGCATTTCATTGAAATGTTTGAATTTTTATTGCACTGTACATTTTATAAAATGTAGTGAGTATACAAAAATTCTTGTGTTTTAAAACTTAACACAGTATGATGTGTAATATGCTTCTCTATAAAGGGGATTTTTTATTTTTTATCTACGTACAGTACATGTGTGTATATGTTAAAACATGGCAATGCAAAAGCAAAAAAAGGTGCATTTTATTGTTAACAACAAAATGGGGTGTGATTTGGATTTTACAATCATATACTGTTACAAATGTAATCAACTTTTATTTGCGACGACTGTATTTTGCGATTTACTAGAGGTAAACTAGTTTTCGACAAAGTAATTTTTGCGATCAAGCCTTTTAGATCTGAGAAAATTTTTGCATGTGAATATAAGTTGGTTTTACAGTATTTTATTCAATATGAGGTGCCATTAATGGATACAATATAGAATTAGAGACTGTTTAAGTCATTTTTTTCTAGACGCAAATTAAGCTATTTGTTTCCCAAAATGTGAATATAATTTTAGCAAGAAAAAATTGTAGCAATTTTATTGTCAATGAAGATAGTCTCTACAATAGATATTGAGCTGACATTCATTTTTTGCAAAATCAAAACCCTTGTAGTTAATGACAAAATTAAATCATTGCTAAAAAATATTCTGCTCATGTGATATTAAGATTAAAGAAAAGATAAAAATTGTATATCATTTTTGTCATACAAATAACATCTTCTGTCTGTTAATTAACGCTGAACAAAAACTGTCGACACATCAATGATATAAGTGTCTTAAAATCTAATTATTAATGAAAATAAAAGTCATTTGTATACAGCATCATTTGATTTTTTTAAAATTTAAGTTCATGTTATGATTGTTATTAGATTACTCATGATACATTTCTATGTAAGGCTGTTAATGTATTCTTGTATGATTTTGTTAAAATCTCATTTTGGGTTAAAATTTGAGATCATATATTCATTTTTTTTTCAAATTAATTTTCCTTTCTAGGCTACTAAATATCAATTAAAATGGTGTGCCATATTTTTATGTAATCAAATATAGAACATGCATGTCTATTACTACATTATATATGAAGTACTTGTAGGGAAGCTTGGCCATATTATGTAATCATGCATGCAGCAATGATTCTTACTAGACCATATAGGTTGTATCATTGTGCTAATTATTACTGTAAATCTTGATACTTAGATATGCATGTTCAATAAATAAAGAACCGAAAAAATCTTTGGTCAAATTCGGGTAGTTCTTTAAAACATATGATTCTTAAGACACAAACAAAACAGAAAAACGTTGCAGGCTGGAATACACTGAGGGACGGGGAGATTAGTCCTTTGGATGAGGCCGTATTTAAAGAGGTCCCATGTCGCAGAGAAGGTGTTGACATGAAAAAGATCCCCAACTGTTCAAAGTCACTTAGTGACAAGTTTTAAGTCGAAATTTGCAGCTCCCCATCGGCAAGTGGTGGCTTCTCCCTCTGAGTGAAGAATTCTTGGAGGGGGGGGGGGGTTAACAACAAACAAAAATATTTGTTGAAACATTGAACACTGTAAAAGTGTTTTATTGATGTAAAACTGAAATCTTCTAAAGGGCAGTAACAGGCCATTAAGAATTTAGACTGCTCACTTTTATAGCGGAAAGGACTAGGATCAAGAGTGACCTCCATAAAGATTTACGGCCCTGAAGTAAGGAGATTTTAAATCAAGGAATAAAACTAGAAAATACATATAGTGAATTTATGAAGTGAAATATATAGAGGTGACGAACAGTATTTATATTCAAGCTCAAAAGTCCACAGTGCCTAACAATTAGCACAAATTTGTTACGGACATTTTGAAATCTTTTGTTTGCAAGTACATGTAGCATTCAACACTTGAACAGCGTATACTTTTGAAAGTTGAAAAGTACCTCATAATTTCAAGGGAAAATTTTTGCTGTGAACATTGTTCCAAATGATTTTTTTCACCAGTACATGTAGATTTGTAATGTCTGGACCAAGGATTGCAATGAGGCGGTTTTCCTTATAACTGCAGTACACATGTACCTGGACTGGCTAACTTCCTTGCCAACGTACCGAGCAAAGTTAATCTACTGACATTCAGATTTATGAGTTAAAACATTAGATCACAACAATTAAGTTTTTAATTTGTGTACATGTCTGTCTAAATGTGGCATTTCGTAGGCAGATTCGAAATAGAATTAATTATTGCTACAGAAATAAATTGTTACGGAAGGTAATTTCCAGCAATAAAAGATGAAAAACTTCTTGGCAATAGATTTAATTAATGGTTTGTTTGTAAGATGTTAATTAGAAGAACAAACTTCCTATGAAGAAGACTGTAATTTTTAAACATCCTACCCAGAATGAAGATTTTTTTTCATTTGACAAATCATGTTTTAAGGTGACAGCCCCGAGACAAAGCACACGTATACACACTTGAAGTGATGCTACTCACCCAAGCAATTTAATTAAGAATGGATCGTATAATCCGCTTTACAGAAATGTAATATCCTGCATGGAACTTTTTTTCTTTTCAATTTGTCACAATAATCGTTTTGGAGCCACGAGTTAATTAACCTATTTCTTCTCACCTGGACTTGATTTGACTTTGATTTGACAAAATTGTGTTACTGCTGCTCTTGATATTTTTCTTACATTCATTTTTATTCTCACAATTTTCGACTTTTCAAACGATCGATGACTGACAGCTATATAACATCTAACGGATACATTTTGCACTGTGAAATCATTTTCATTCGTTGATGTGATGTTTTTCTTATCTCTGTTATCGAATAAACTTGTACCTTTGTTTTTCTCAATAAAAATGAAACCAAACTCTAGAAAATGCCCGAATGTTTATTTTAGCTACACCGAAAAAATGATTACAAAATGAAATATATGGAGATAACAAACAGTATTCAAGCTCAAAAGTCATTAAACAGCACAAATATTAGAGCAGTGCAAAGGCGGACGTCTACAGCATCAGAGGTGGAATCAGTTGCCATGGAGAAGTGAGCATCCCCTGCCGACCGGTCACACCCGCCGGGTGCTCCTTGTCCTGATCATGAAATAACGGAAAAATCCGTCAACAATTTATTGTGTAAATAATCATGATAATGGCAAAATGCTTTTCAATGCCTCTCACCCGATTCGTAGAAAGTTTTATCGAAACATGAAGTATCCGCGTGTACCTTATCATTTTCCGAAACAAATGAAATACCTGTATATGGGGATAACAAACAATATTCAAGCTCAATGTCTATTCAAACAATATAAAATAGGAACAAAACAAACACGATCTTCCAAAACATCAGAGGTGGGAACAAGTGCCATGGACATCTCGGAGGAAAATCTTTGGAATGTCTACAAAAAAAGTTATACAGTAGTAGGAATTAAATTCGATCTTTCAGCTGTTTCTTCATCGCTTGTCATTCTGTTAATTCTCTCTGTTAGCTCGAGAACGGGGCGCCGCAGGTCCATATTTTCTCTCATCATTGGATCTAAAGGATGATCAACCTCTGACTGTTTGAAATAATTCAGTTTTTCTGTCAAAGTCTTCTCGACCGACAAAAATTTCATACAATTATTTTCTAACAAAGCCTCATTCGAAATGGCACAGCATTCAGAAGCATTATCAATAAAAGTTTGCATTATTTGTTTCTTTTTCTTCAAAGTAGATAGCTTTTTCAGTGCAGTTTCCTTCATCTTCTTTTTGGCATTCTCTACATAGTCTTGAATGTACATAATGCCTCTATTTGCTTCGGCAGTAAGGCTTTCCTTGATTTTCCTCTCACTTTCTGGCAGCGATGTGATTTCTTTTTCTACATTTTCTAAAAGCCTCTTTGTTCTATCGATTTTGCTTTTTGTTGCATGACAGGTACCTTGTAGAGCCTTTTTACACTTGACATACCCATCTTCAATGGAACAGTAGGCGTGCTCCCTGTGCTTCTCCACAATACAATTAGCACACACCGCTTTGCAACACATCTTTTCTGCGCAGTAATATTTTAACTCGTTATGCTCATGATCCGGAAGCAAACATCTCGCTTTTGATTGATTATATATAGATTTCAAGGACGTATCCGGAGTCGCAGATGGATCTTCAGGCTTTTCAAAATCATGCGTATTGCAATCACTTGACTTCTTTTCTTTATAACACTCTCGACAAATTCGAATGTTACACGTGATACAAAAGTATCTCACGTGATCATGACGTCGACAGACGCCACACAATGAGTGCATGAATCTTTCTAATAATTCCTTTAAGTCACGACGGGTATTATCTTTTGGGAATGTCTCCACATCCCCATTTTTCGTGAAGTGTTCTCGGTTACACACAGGACACTTTAGCGTTTGTTCTTTACAATGCTTAGTTAAACATTCCGTGCAAAATGTGTGCTGACATGGTAAAACTCTAGGGACGTGTTTGTTTTCGTCATATTCGATAAAGCAAATGTTACATTCACACATATTTTCTACGTCTTTCACAAAACTTCGAACATTTGCGCTAGCCATCATACTGAAAATAAAGTAAAAGTTTATTTAATTGTATATGAATGTAACTCCCACCAACCCCAAAACATGTTTCAATATAATAACAGAAACCTGTTTTAGATTCAAATTGATTTTTTTGTTTGTTGTTTAATGTCCTACTCAAGGATTTTTCACTCACATAGAGATACCACCATTTACGGTTGGAGAAATTTTGACCTACACTCATCGATTCTTATGTCCATTGAGCAGTGTGGGATCATTTAATGAGAGTATCTACCTCGACACAAGGCCTAAAGGACCAGTCTCCACGTCCCACAGCAGGATTTGAACCCGCAACGTAAGGATCGACTCCACTCTACCGGTACAATGTAGGACACATTCATTTTTAAAATTAATTATGACTAGCGTAATAATAAGCAGTATTTCAGTATCCAAAAGTATTAGTTTGAAAATAAGAATTATATATTTAAAACTGAAGGAACGAATTCAAATCTATAATGAAATTTATTTGAACAAATGCATATCTTTGTATTTAAAACATGGAGAAATATTTTACTTCTCGTTATTTTTTTTTCAGTAAAAAATCAATAATAAGAAAGAGTGAATTTGATTGGATATGAATAATTGGTAAACTAAATTATTATTATCAAATTGATGGAACAAATTGGTTATTTCATAACTTTTCATAATATCTATACCTTCAGACAGAATGAGGACATATAAAGACCATTTCTGATGTCCAATCCAATTTATATGTGATTTGACTTCACATAATAATACACTGATTTAATTAAAATTCCCTCAGACATTTTATGTCAATATCTAGTAAATGAAAGAAGCCTATAGATTTATGAAATTTGAGAAATGAATCTCTGTATGATGCTTTAAAAGTTTAGCTTGGTCAAATACGAAATTTGAGGCATGTGTTTTAGATAAACAAGACAAAACTCATATTTTAAACTGTCATTTTAAATGAAAAATGAAGAAAACTAGTTATGAATAAAAGACTCTTTTTATATCAATATCAGACAAAGGAAATGCCTACAGTCTCTCACAAAATGGTAGTTTGTATGTTTTTGGCCTTTTCTTTAAAATTATATCAAATTTAATATAGATATCCGGATTTTTTCCATATGATTTCAAATTGAATTCTGTGAAAATATCCTTAATATTACGTTTGAACAAACATTTTTTTAATGTAATAGAGAGGAAAATATTTTTCTAAAATTTATCTTGAAAAAAAGCATACATGTACTTACCGATTCAGTATAGAGATGATTGTGTCTGATAAGTATCCATATGCAGCTAACTAGATAAAGGCTTTTAAAAAGATGCTTGAAAGAAATCAATAACTATGGATGCACTACAAGGAATACAAAGTTCGAAATATCTAAACTACCAATTGTTATAATACATGTACCTTTGATAATAGTGATGGAATGAGTTAAACATTGATGTTTTGATAGCATTTATAGATAAAACTGACATACACAGCATCCTCTTTAAAAAATTGGTTTTATTGCTTTTTTGTCCAAATGGTAAAAGCGGGTATTTGTTTAAGATTTTTAACTTTCAATATCATTGCATTAAGTCACCAATTGTATCAAATAAAATCTAGTAAATGCTTTAAATCAATTATGAAGGATTGAAATATAATGTAATATTGGTCTAGACTTTGTGGGAAGAATTAATGAGTGTAATTTAATCCTTTTAGTATGATTAAGAGTAACAG